TTGGCTCTGAGCCTGCAGAGCCAGGAGCTAAAACCTTTTTCGCTGGCTGCCTAGGGTGTTTCCTGTAGCAACAAGGGTTGACTAATACAGGTGTCAAGTAGAGTTTAATGGGATTAGAGGCTATCTAGGGTTTGGCTTGTAGGGAGCCCTCGGTGAGTGACTTGAGGTGCTCAGGAAAAGTTCTGCCAGTTCTGGTCATATACCTGTGATTTCTTTTTCATGAATTAATTCCAGATAGTTCGAAGGCTTTTTGACTTCCCCAGGTAAACTCTAACGGCACTCAGAAGTCTGGGCTGTACTGCGCTGGGCCGCGTGATCTTCCGGGACCCCGCCCCTGCCCCCAGTGGTGCGTGTGGACAGGCGTGTCCACATCCTGAGCTGAAGGGCGGCCTGGAGTGGCTGGAATCCAGAGACGTGGTCTTGAGGGGAGAGCCTTTTGGCTGTGAGTGGCCCACAGAGGCCAGGTATCTGGGGGCCTGCACAATGCCGAGGACACGTCCTGCCTCCCTGCTCTGGGCTGGTGCAGACCCAGCATCTCTGAGCTCTCGAGAAAGATAGGCCCTGGTCTGCACCCTGCTTCCTCAGGGAGCCCTCTGGTCAGTGACCGCTCTCAGGCCAGCATCTCAGGGCCCAGCCTTCTCTGCCTGTTCTCATCTCAGGAACAATAGGGTCCACGGGAGCCACAGCTGTGTCACATGCTCACCGTGCCTGGCAACTCAGTGGCCTGCTCCTGTGCAGCCCCTCCAGTCCTCTCCAGTGGAGTCTGGGCCAGGGGCTTGCTGGGCGTTCTCCATCTTCCTGCAGGGCCTGAGTGCTGGGGCCCTGCCCCGTCCTGCACCTGTGCTCTTTCTAGAGCACCCGGATGTCTTTCCCAGCCCCAGTTTTGGTCATGGTACGGGAAGTCCCATGTCTTTGACCCCTCCCAGTGAGGAGAGAAGAGTCATCCACAGACCTGGGGTTGGCTTTCCTGGGATTTGGTTACTTGTGATCAACTGCAGTCTGAAAATATTAAATATGAGAAAATCCATAAATAAATAATTCATCAGTTTTACATCATGCAACATTTTGAAGAGCATGATGAGGTCTTGTGGGTCCATTTTGTCCCACCTGGGATGTAGATCCCCCCTTTAGCTGTGTAGTCTACCCACTTGCTGACCATGAATGCTCAGCTCAGCTGCCAGTTACTGGCAGATCACAGGGCGTGTGGTCAAGTCACCCTGGGTTTATTCAATGTCCCACAGTGTAAGAGGAGGGCTGCTGACCAACAGTACATTGTCACAATTGTTCTGTGTTTTAAGATGCTGATTTATTGGTGAGTCTAATTTGTGACTTGGATATGTGTGTGTGTAGGAAAGGTGTAGCTTGTGTAACATTTGGTACCATGTTTGGTTTTGGGACTCCCCTGGGGGGTCTTAGAATGCATCCCCTGAGGATAAGTGGGAGTTCTGTGCTGAGTCATCGGTATGAGAAAAATTAGGAAGCATTTATGACATTCCAACTGTGTACTGGCCCCTGTACAAGCTGTGATAGAAAGTTGAGCCAAAGGTCTTGTAGGTTGATGAGAAAAGGCCAGGTGATCAGTCATCAGGAACACAATAACGATATATGCTGAAGAGGCAGTAGGGAGAGAGGAACTCTCATGCACCATTGGTGGGAGAATAAAGTAGTGCACCCCTGTGGAAGTTGGTGTGGAGGTTCCTCAAAAGACTAGGCATGGAACCACTACACGACCCAGCCACACCACTCCTGGGTATTTACCCCAGAGAACTAAAGGCATTCCCCCCAGGGATACTTGCACACCCATGTTTATAGCAGCACAATTCCCAATAGCCACACTATGGAACCAGCCTGGGTGCCCATCAACAGAGGAATGGACACAGAAAACCTGGTGTATATACAAAGGGAGTTTTGCTGAGCTATAAAGAAAAATGAAATTGTTTTTGTAGGAAAATGGGTGAAACTAGAGACCATCATGTAAAGTGAAATAGGTCAAACTCCGAAGGTCAAGTCACATGTTTCCTCTCATCTGTGGAAACTGGAGAGTGAAAGGAATTAATAAAAAGGGGTAATTCCATGAAAATAGAAGAGACAGCAGTAGAGGAGGAGACCAGGGCGGGTAAACTGGAGAATGAAACTGATGAGATTAGGTGCAGCACAAATCCGTCACAATGAAGCCCTCGATGGTGTGATTACAATGCACCAATCAAAAGGAAAGAAATAAATTCAAAAAATTAAAAAGTAAAGAGAGAAGACAGTGGATACTCCTGCTGGTTGTGGCTGCAACCAGGATTGTGCAGTCTAGGCCGAGAGAACGAGTCCAGGGTCTGGGGGAGAAGGGTGGGCACGGACAGAGGAGGGCCTGCTTTCCAGGAGGGACACAAGGGATGCGTCTGCCAGCCCCTGCTGGCTGCCCTCCAGCACGCTGCCCCTGGCATGTGCCTGTTCAGTGGCCATAGTGGCAGGCAGGACCTTCCCGGTGGTGAGGTGGCCACCTCACAGCCACTGTGCTCCTTATCTCCACTCACCAGGGCCGCTGAGCCCATCCCCAGAGGCTGTGGAAATGGCAGCAGGTGCTCACCTGGCTGGTGCCGGTGCATGTGTCCAGGTGCAGGCTCTTGCTGTCCCGGGCCTTGGAGAGCCATGACCTGTTCTACTGCCTGTTTTGTAAATCTGTTTTAAGGGGACAGTGACATCATGGATCTGTATCATCCATGGCAGATTTCCTGCTGCCACGGAATTGTGATGGGGGCATGAGAAGCTGCACAGTCTGGCCCTCCTGAGAGACGGTCACCAGCGTCTGCCCTCATGCCCCTACCCTCTTCCCACCCAGCTTTGGAAGGGCAAGCCTGTCACCTCACACCCCGTCACAGAAGCCCGTCTTCTAACCCTGGCCTGGGTTGAGGTTCAGTCGTGAGCAGCTGGGCTGCCAAGAGGCAGCTCTAGGTGGCCAACCACGGGCGTCTTCTGGCTTCCGTGGCATCACGCCAGACACCCTCCAGCAGCAGGTGTCGTCTGTGTTCACTAGCCAGCACCTGCTCTGGGTAGTCCTGTGAGCTGGGTCTGCAGCTGGGTTGGCAGGGCCGCTCCTGGAGCGGGTCAGCAGCCCTGGCGTCTGGTGCTGGGGGTGGCAGCCGCTCCCAGCTGCACTGCACCCCTGGGTCGTGAGCGGGCCTTTCTCCGGGCAGAAGCTGACGTCATTCATCCTCACAGTGAAGGCAAAGCTCCCAAGCCAAGGAACTTGGGGTAGGCAATGAAGTCCACGATCTTCACCTTCAATTGGCCACCTTCTTCTACCCACATGACTTATCAACTGGAAACATCTTAGTTCAGAGGAAACACATTTTAACGGAACTTTAACTGTTGTAGAACACCATGGCTACTAGGTATCTCTTCTGGTCTGTGATAAGGCTGTTGGTGCCTCATTTTGTGTTACTGACTTCCCACCCTGAAGCCTGAGGGGTGCTTTGAGCATCGGGTCCTCAGCTGCTGTAGCTGAGTTAAAGGGACAGTCTTGAACCCCAAGACATAGCAGGAGATGTCACCTGTCTTCTTGTGGCAGCTCGTGAGAAGGGCGGTTCCATCTTGAGAGGGTGCCCGATCTCTTTAAATAGAACAGAGGAGGCTGGACACCTGCGGGATTTTCAGGAAGCAGGTTTATTGAACTCATGGTCCAGAGAAACTGTTGGAGAGCCTAAAACATTCTCTGGACGGAGATTTTTGAAATTCTTTGAACTTTATACCCATGTGGGGCAGTGGGGACTTGGAAGTTTACATATAGAAGGAGTCTACATAAGATATTTTTCTCCTTAAACTCTAAAAAAAAAAAAGTTCCTTTTAGGCCATACACAGGTCTTGTAAGTTTTTACCAAGAAAACAGAAATAATATCTTGTACAAAAGCTTACAGACTCTAAATCTGTCATACATTTTTGTGCAAACCTAGCATTTACAAGAAAGAGGAAAATACCAACCTCAATAACCTTTGCAGACATCCTGCTGATCTGACAGAGGAGAAGCTTGGTTATGGCAGGGTCTTTTGCGTGGGGTGCCTGGTCTGCTTCTCTCCTGCTGCGACCCTCAGAGCATGCAGCAGGCCTCACTGACTGCCATGCGGCACTCTTGCATGGTGAGCTGGCAGCTCTTGTCCCTGGGGGACGTGCCCTGTGACATGTTGCCGTTCCACGAGGGCACGTGGGTGGCTCAGACCTGCTCTTCCCTCTAGCCCTTTGGATGTCTCCATCGTGGCTTTGTTCAGAGGTCAGGTGGAGAGCTCTGCCCAGAGCTGTGCCCCTACAGAACCTTCGCCCAGACCGCGCCCAACACCAGGCTTCACCAAAAGTCCTGTAAGGAGTGCGGCACTTCCTCTCTGTGGACGAGATCAGAGATGTCTGCATCACTTTTCTGCATTTTGAAGGTGAGTTATTCATGCCAGAACTTAGCAGCCCTGGGTCTGGGGTGGTGGCTGGTTTGATGTTGGAGTCTAATGGATCACAGTGTTTGCCCCCGTATACGTGCACTGGTAGAGGTGAATGGTATGTCCTACTTCTGCTGCTTCTACCCAGCTGGGCACAGATGTGGGAGGGGTGGCTCGGGGGCAGGTAAACTGAGGCAACACTTGGGCTCAGGGCCAGTCACGGATTTCCTGCAGCAAAGCCAGGAGGACAAAACTCAACATCACCTTTCAAGATGGCTGAGTGAGTAGAGGGAGGAGAGGGCTGATGCCGTTTCCCCTGCAGTGGAATCATTCTGTGCACTTTGTTCAGCAGTTGTCAACAATCAGGTTGCTTGATATCTTAATCGTCAACATTTAAAGACTACGCCAGGAAGTGAATGCCTATATTAAAATCTGATTACTAAAGATAATATTTATAAAGCAGGTGCATCCTTCACAAGTAAGACTAAATCATGAAGTCGTTCCGTACCTCTGTGGTGGGCCGACTTCTGCTGGTGGTCTTGCAAATGAAGTTGACGTATTTGTCTTAGAATATAAGGGAGTAAGCTGGTTCTGCGGTTTCTGAGCTCCGGTGTGGCCTGTGCGGAAGGGAGCAGGGAGGTGTGTGGGGAGTGGCTCTTACTCTCCAGCAGCTGCAGGAAGCTGGGCTGCCCCTTGCTGTCCTCGCAGGCCCCCGGGGCCCCTGCCGATTGAGGGTGACCCTTCCTCCAGCAGCACTGGTTGGTTTACCAGCTGCACCAGGATCTCTGACTCTGCCTGGCGTGAGCTGTGGAGCACAGCGAAGGCTTTTCAGAAACCTCCCACACACATGGTCTCCTGACTCCACGCTGAACTGGAGGTGAGGCCCTGGAGTGACCGTGAAGTCATATACCAAAAAGGTGTTGCAGTGAAGGGGACGCACCAATGTCAGGGGACAGCAGGAGTTCGTGGAGACTCTGCCAGCCCTGCTGGGGGATGTGATCCCAGCATTTGCAGATCCTTACTTCAAAGGGTGAGGACCCCAGGAGGTGGATCATCTGGATGCCAGTATGCACGGGGCTGAGGGCAGGGGCACTGGCATGCCGTCTCAGGATCTGGGTGACTAGGGCTCGGTCTCCAGAGAGTGGGTCTGTGGATTGAAGCCCCCAGAGTGAGAAGGTTAGGCTAAGCTGGACCAATGCCACTGCCTTCTGCATCATGCAAGCTGTGGTTTTCAAGAGGTGTGCGAACAGAGTGAGGAGGGCCCCACAGCAGGGAGGGCCACAGCTCAACGTAACACCCTGGAAGACACTAGAAGCAAGGGATTTTAAACAAGGCCTTCAGCCCCTTCACTAGATCAGAACAAACTGAAAAACAAGGCTGTCCTCCCCGGTCTGTGCTCCTCAGGGCCATGAGTAGACCAAAGGCTGTCCTCCCTGACCTGTGCTCCTCAGGGCCACGTGTAGACCAAAGGCTGTCCTCCCCGGTCTGTGCTCCTCAGGGCCACGTGTAGACCAAAGGCTGTCCTCCCCGGTCTGTGCTCCTCAGGGCCACGTGTAGACCAAAGGCTGTCCTCCCCGGTCTGTGCTCCTCAGGGTCTTGTGTAGACCAAAGGCTGTCCTCCCTGGTCTGTGCTCCTCAGGGCCATGTGTAGACCAAAGGCTGTCCTCCCTGGTCTGTGCTCCTCAGGGCCATGTGTAGACCAAAGGCTGTCCTCCCTGGTCTGTGCTCCTCAGGGCCATGTGTAGACCAAAGGCTGTCCTCCCCGGTCTGTGCTCCTCAGGGTCTTGTGTAGACCAAAGGCTGTCCTCCCTGACCTGTGCTCCTCAGGGCCATGTGTAGACCAAAGGCTGTCCTCCCTGACCTGTGCTCCTCAGGGCCACGTGTAGACCAAAGGCTGTCCTCCCTGGTCTGTGCTCCTCAGGGCCATGTGTAGACCAAAGGCTGTCCTCCCCGGTCTGTGCTCCTCAGGGCCATGTGTAGACCAAAGGCTGTCCTCCCTGGTCTGTGCTCCTCAGGGCCACGTGTAGACCAAAGGCTGTCCTCCCTGGTCTGTGCTCCTCAGGGCCACGAGTAGACCAAAGGCTGGCCTCTAGCCCCATGCTCCTCAGGGCCACGTGTAGACCAAAGCTGGCCTCTAGCCCCTTGCTCCTCAGGGCCATGTGTAGACCAAAGGCTGGCCTCTAGCCCCATGCTCCTCAGGGCCATGTGTAGACCAAAGGCTGGCCTCTAGCCCCTTGCTCCTCAGGGCCTTGTGTAGACCAAAGGCTGGCCTCTAGCCCCTTGCTCCTCAGGGCCTTGTGTAGAACAAAGGCTGGCCTCTAGCCCCTTACTCCTCAGGGCCTTGTATAGAACAAAGGCTGGCCTCTAGCCCCTTGCTCCTCAGGGCCTTGTGTAGACCAAAGCTGGCCTCTAGCCCCTTGCTCCTCAGGGCCATGTGTAGACCAAAGCTGGCCTCTAGCCCCTTGCTCCTCAGGGCCACGTGTAGACCAAAGCTGGCCTCTAGCCCCTTGCTCCTCAGGGCCACGTGTAGACCAAAGCTGGCCTCTAGCCCCTTGCTCCTCAGGGCCTTGTGTGTTCAGACTGGTTTGCAGTGAGCTCAGTGTGGTTCTGGTCAAGGTTTCTTGAGCTCAGTCCTTCCTGTCTTGAGAAGGTGTGGCTGCCTTTATCTCAGGCTTGGAAAGAGCCTAGTTCAGGATCTCCTATTTTTTAATGGAATTAAAGATTGTAAACAACTAGACAGAAAACTCTCTCTCTCTCTCTTTATTTTTTTTTGGAAATGTTCAGAGAGGACAGTTGAACTGACTCCGTTCGTTTGCAGAGTCGAAGGTGCCTTCCTAGTGCACAGGCCCCTGGCGGCCTCCCCAGCAACCCCGCTTGTCCTTCGGTGGTGTCCATCGTTGGCAGGTGGACAAGCTGTGCTGGGGTCCACTGACATGTCTGGACCAGTTGTGGAATTGCTTTCCAATTATTGATCAGGAAACTATGGGCAGGCAAGAACTCCCTGCCATCTTGACCTCAGGCAATTGGAGGCCTGGCCGTCTCTACTGATGTAACATAAGGAGGGAGGAGGCCAAGAAACGTGCTAACGTGTTTAAGAGCTGAGGTTCATGTGATTTTTATAGAGCGCATTTCCCTGGAGTGTGGTGGGGACCCCTTCTCCCTACCCTTCCCTTGCCCAACCAGCTACGGGAGGCCTGGTGCCCCGGGGATCCGCGGCTCACGCTATGCTGGAGGGGGCACATCTGCTTTTTTCTCTTGCCTGGCTGGCACTGGTGTGATGGCTTCCTGGGTGCTCCTCTGGCCTCCCCACCCCACGCCCCATTTGTGGCTCTGTCCTGGTGATAGCACCTGCTTCACCACCGGGGTGACTGACATGAACACCTAGAGCGTTGTGGACAGAGCCTGTGACCACTCAGAGGGCAGGCTGCGTTGGCAGGTTTGTGTCCTCTGAAGATTGGACTTGGGCACTTTTTAGATTCTGGGGAGACGTCCCTTCACAACCGCTGTGACCAGGCCAGCACCTTGGCTTGATGGCTTTCTGCTCAGCACACAGAGACCTGTTCATAGATAACATCCACCTTTGCCATCACACATACTCAGGTAATGACCACCCACCCAGCTAGGCCTGCTGGTCTAGGTGCCTGGGGCAGGGGGTATAGAGAATCTCTGATCAGGGTACTGTCGGGTGTCTGAACAGCTCAGCCATGGAGCTGCTGCTCAGGAAAGCTCACCCTGCAGATGTCAGGTGAGAGCCCTTCTAGATTCCAGGTGACTCTGTCAAGAAACCCAATTTGTCTGCTTCCAGGAGGATCCGTGTCCTCCTCCCTGTGAGGCAGCTGGCCTGTCGGGGTGGCACAGGCAGCATCACCCACTGCACAGGCTGTGGGTCTAGTCTGGTGCCTTCTTTAGACACATGTAGAACGGTCTGTTTTAGACCCAGGAGGAGGCTCCTGACAGCAACTGATCTCACTCCAAAGTGAGAATTGTCTCCATGTGTGAACAGGAGTGTGCATGTGTGTGACTGCACGAGGATGTGTATGATGTGTGCGCATGTGAATGTGAGCGTGCAATGTAAATGGAAGCATGAGTATGAATGAGCATATGAATGTGTGTGGGTGTGCTTCTAAATGTAAATGTGTGCACATGTGTGATTGTGAGTGTGTAAAGTGACTGCATGTATGAATGTAAGTGTGCATATGAATGAGCATGTGAATGTGTGTGAGCACATTTGTGAATGTAAATGTATGAATATTGAGGGTGCACTGTGTGAATTGCATGTGAATGTCAGCATGCACAAGTGACTGTGCATATGTGAATGTAAGTGCATGTGAATGGGTATATGTGGGCATGCTTGTGTTGTAAATGTGTGAATGTGAGTGTGCATGTCTGAGCATGTCAGCACGTGTATCCATGAGCCTATGAATGTGTGCATGTGTGCATATGTCTGTGTATGTAAGCGTGTGCACATGTAAGCCTGTATGTGCCTGCAGGTAAGCTTTATGTGTTAATATGACCACGTACATGCGTGAATGGAAGCATATGTGTGCATGTGGATGCACGTGTTACTATGTGACGGCACTGGCAAGTCTCATCCATCGTGTTTGGGGCCTGGTGGTGGCTGTCCACCTTGTGTGGACTAAAGGCCACGCAGTCCCCATTCTTTGGGCAGCACTTCTCTTGCATCAGCCAGCTCTGTGTGGTTGGTGCACACAGCACAGGCCTCATCACGTGTCACTCTGCAGTGAGCTGTGACGCTACCATTCAATGTCGCCTTCTTGCTATTTTCAGACAGTTCCTGGTCTTTCTGTCTGCAGCTGCTCAAACTTTGACTTTTGTGAGGAGCTGCTTTCCAACACTGTGAAAGGTCTGGATGCCTGAGTTTCATGAGAAACAAGTATGGCCACGGGCTGTTGTCCATCTCCCCTCCTTCTCCCTCCACCACTGGTGTCCCTGGGCCACCTCTTCTCTTTATGCCTCTATCAAGGTGCCACGGGCATAGCAAGGAGAGCGTTTTCAAACCTCTTCTGCAGGTGCCTCTGGATTGGGTTCCACTTCTCCCTGTGGGAGACTCTGGACACCCCAGCAGCTCTGAAGCCGGTTCTGCCTCTTTCTGCAGCATGTGGTGCCTCATGGAATCCCCCGTTTGCTCTGAAATCCCCACTGTCTCACGCAGTGTTTGAGGCTGAGCTGAAGAGAGGAAGCCAGCCAGCCCTCCTGAACCCTGACAGGAGGAAGGACACATGGCAGGCTTGTCGGTTTGCTTGTGAAGAACCACAAACACCGCTGGCCACCCAGGAGGGAGTCTACACAGGAGCACCACTTGAGCCCAGGGGTTCAAGGCCAGCCTGGGCAATACAGCAAGACGTAGCTTCTGAACAAAAGTGGAGGGAGTCGCCGACACCCGTCAGGTGGTACAGAGGTCACCCTGTGGCCTTCAGAGGAGGATGTGGCTGCCCTAGGAGAGGAGTCTATGGTGACTGCACACCTGAGGGGGAGGGGGTCCTCTGCCCCCACTGTCAGGAGCCCAGACTGGACCCTGTGTCCAGGCCCGAGGCTTTGGTCCTGGTATGAGGAAAGGTGGGGAACAGTCGTGGAATGGCGCTCTAGGCAGTGGGAAGGGTTTGTATTAGCCCAGTGCCGCCGTCGACACACTTCATGAGGCGCTGGTTCTTCTGTGTTGAACCTGGGGCCCATCTCTCTGTCTTGTGTGTCCAGTCCATGTGGGTTCTCCTGGGATGGTCACAGGTTGCAGCCTGAGCCAGTTGGAGCTGCAGCCCTATAATCCCGTCCCCCGTTGGGGCGTCTGACACCTGCTCTGCTGCCAGCCCTCTCTCTTGCCCAGATGCAGGGCAGGTGGTCCCTGTGGCCGGTGTGGTCCAGATGCACAGGCCTGGGCTTCGCAGCTGCTCAGTCTGCATTGTGAATGCGCCTCACCAGGCCCTGTGAGACAGGCCAGCAGAGCAGCATCCTTGCTGCAGGCACTTTACCAGGGGCAGAGGTGTCCTAGACAGCGGGAGTGCAGTGACAGTTAATGACGAGAGGTCTTTTTAAATAGCTGATAAGTCAGGGAAAGGCAGAGAGCAGGTGTGTGGAAGGCTAGCCCTGGGGCAGATCTGTCCTCTTTCACCTTGTTAGAAGGGAAAGCACGCGGGCAGGGGGCTTTGTTGGGTGCTCTGGGCAGGGGCCCTGAGGTTAGGGTGCGGGCAGCTCCAAGCCCTGAGTTCTTATGGGTCAGCCCTCAGGTTCCAGCTTTGGACTCTGCCCTGGCCTCAGGGAAAAGCCATATGTGCAAAGTAGCCACTGGGGAAAGAGTCGTGTAGGGTCCCACAGAGCAGGGAGCCCCCAAAGGGCAGCACACTGTCCCTTCATGGTGGAGGCATCCAGGAATAAAGGCCCAGGAAATGCCTTGGTGACAGTTGTGTCTTTGCAGGAGGCACAAGACAGGCCAGTCAGGCCACATCAGGTCACCTGGGGCTACATGGGGTTAATTAGAGCACCTCGGGGTAATAGGGCTTCGTGGGGTCAGTCAGGCCAAGTGCAATCAGTCAGGGCCAGCTTGAATCAGGCAGGCTATGTGGGGTCAGTTGGAGCTATGTGGGGTCAGTCCAGGGTGCCTTTGGTCAGTCAGGGCTGTATGGGGTGGCCCTATGTACCTGGATCTCACCTCACCTGAGTCAGGTGCAGGACAGCAAGGAAGCTGTCCCTCGTATAGTGTGAACTTTCTGGGACAGAGCTAGCCCTGGCAAGAGTCTGGCTTGGTGCCCTGTGTCTCCGGGTATGGCTTCTTCCTGTGGGAACGCTGGCCTTGCCCTCTACTCCCCTGTCCTGAGTGTGGGGCTCACCTTATCCCTGCCAGGCTGCACTTGGCCTCTGCTCCGTGGCCCTGGGACTTCAGCTGTGCGACGTGACAGCTCTGACTGACAGCTAATGTTCTGTTTGGCTTTGCAGATCTGATGCCCGTTTGCTGGACGTGCCCACAGGGCGGTCACCACGGCGGGCGGTAAGTGCGCTCTGACCTGCCCCTTCTGACCTCTTGACCACTGGCCAAGCTAGGAATTTTCCCAGTGATTTTCTTTTCTGTTTCTTTGCAGGTCATCGTTGATTAAGATAATTTTTTTAATGTGTCATTGCATGAATCTCCATCTCCATCTCTGGAAATTGAGTAAATTCATAGAAGAAAAGTTGATTACTGTTTAGATACTTGTTTTGTCATTTTGAATGGGAAATATTGAAAACTAAAATTAAACGTACATAAATGCTATATCAGACTCATTTTTATTCAAGTAAAGTACAACATTCAGTGTTATAGTCATCGCTATTTATTCTATGGTTTAGGTAAAATATTTGGGAAAATAACCCCTAATGTAATGGCATGCTTTCATGTGATATTAAACAGATTCCCAACAAATACATCCTGGCATCTGTTTTTATAGGCATGCTCATTCTACAAATTGTTAAAACCACTCTGCATTATGTGCTTAAACATTATCCAAATGAGGATCATATTTAAAAAGTTAGAAGTCACCCCACTATTTTTTAACATTGATAATTACCAAGTATCTGTGTTCAGAATTTAGTTAAGGTTTTTAAATATTTTTAAAGAAAATAATTTTGCAGGAAAGATATGAACAAGGGATGGGAAACAGGAAGATGTCCCATTAGAAATTCAGCGTGTTTGTGAATTAGACATGGTTGGTTCTGCACATGTCCACAGAAGGCCTGTTTGCCGTGGGTGTGCAGGGGTGATGTGTCAGGCAGCAGCTGAGTTCAGGGGCTGAAGGACATTGGGAGGCCACAGAGCCATCCAGGAGTGGGGCGTGCAGGAAGGAAGGGCAGGGCAATGGCGGGTCAGGTCCAGGGTCTGCAGAGTGGGCCTCTGGAGTCCTGAAAGCTTCGTGGAAGGAACCCACATCCTGAGGAGTTTCTAATCTTCAGCTCCTCTGATGTGCTTTGCCTTTTTAGAAGGAACAATGGTAACATTTTGTCAATGAACCTAAATTAAAGGCACGAGAAACAGCCCACAGAGCCATATGCAGATTTTCCCTCCCTTCTGGAGGGAAGAGTCAAAACACAGCTCCACCTGAGGGCAGCTGTAGAGAAGGCCAGGCCAGGCACGGCCCCTGCAGACCCACACCACCCTCCCAGGAAAACCACACGTTGTCTCTGAAGTTCCACGAGAATAACTGTGCTGGAAAAGGCTGCTTCTCCTGCTGCTGGACCTCAGGACCTCCAGGCACCAGGGACCCAGGGTAGCTGGCAGCGGACCTGTGGTGCTGAGCAGTTCCACCCTCCACGTCCCCGTGGTTCACTGCAGGCTGCACCTCACTGGATGGAGAGCATGTGAAGTGTTCTCTGTGGAGGGACCCAGGTGTGCGAGGAAGGCTCCCTGTTCTGGAGCCGCCGACACGGGAGGGAGATGACCCTCGCGGCGCAGTGCTGCAGCCCGCGTCAGCTGAGGGAGGCCTGGGGCTGCCCCACACAGGGACACCCAGCAAGCACTGCCAGGCCTGCTTGGGGAGGGGAGAGACTTCTGTCCTCTTAGGGAGGAAGGCTGAAGGGGAATTCTCTCTGAGATCATATCCCGTGCAAAGAAATCTGTGATCCCCTTCAAAGGGAAAATTAAAGCAGAAGAAGGAAATGTTTAATTAGTATGTTTCATCAAGACTAATTTTATAGAAAAAAATTATTATGATTCTTAGATTTCTCTAGTATGTGAGCAGAATCATGTTTGAAGGGTTTCTTATAAATAAATTCACTGACGGCCACAGTCATCCACCTCAGGCTCCTTTCTCACTGGTATTGGCAGCTCTAAGCACACCCGTTGTATGTATTGTAAGGTGGGGTTTGTGTTATGGATCCTGGAGCCCAGGGTCTCAGTCTCCATGCCCTGGTGCACAGTGACCTGCTGTGGAGACGGTCATGAAGGTCAAGTTTGTGTTGAGTCTCTTGGATCCAGGTCTCAGGCCCCATGCCCTGGTGTGTGGTGACAGTCATGGAGATCGAGATTTGTGTTCTCTCTTGGATCCAGTTCTAAGCCTCTTTCCCTAGAAGATGGTTACCCACTATGGTACAAGTCCACACAGGGTGAAATTTTCATGTCTGGAAATTCCCACATTTGGTAATTTGTCAGTTTTGCACCTGCCAGCCTCTAAGTCTGCCCCCTGTGTCTTTCCTGGTCCTGTGTGAGCTCTGTTACCTAAGGGCTGGATGGCCAGCCTGATGTCCCTCACCTGTGTCTGTAGATGAGCGAGTAGGAAAGTGGGTTTCCTGCACTTGGCGTGTTTGGGGCAGGCAAGGCAGCATCCCCACAGTCTGTCTGCTTCTGTCTTACAGAGGTGCTGCCCCTTGCCAGTCATGAGGTCAGCAGGTGTCTGCATGAGTATCTTCCCTGAAGGGCTGTATGTGCCCATCTTGGGCACAGAAGGGCATCTGTGCACCAAGAGCAGATGGATGGACCTCGACGGGTTCAGAGATTGGGCACCCTGGGTTCTGCATGCTGTGTGGACTCTGGCTTTGTTCGGTGCTTCCTCCAGGTCTGTCGTGGACTAAAGGGCAGACAGACCTGGAGGGCCCAGGCACCCTCAGGAACATTCAGGTCGGTCTGTCTGCTTCCCAAGAAGTGCTGGTCTTTTCCTGGATTCCCAACTCACTTCTGAGAGTGAGAGCTTGCCTCACTCATGGGTGTTTCTGAAGCATCCTGGGCCCTGGAACACCAGCCCTGAGAACTGGCGACAGGTAGCCTGGGCATCAGATGAGGAAAGCATGGTCAGGAGGCTGTAAGTCACAAGTGACATTACCAGGCCTTCCTCTGCTGCTGCCTGTTCTAAGGGCTGTGGCCCTGTGCGTGGACATGCACGGTGATCTTGGGTGACAAGCACTTGATGGTAGGAGGTGGAGCCACTAAGGCCCAGTGCAGTTCTGCAGCCTTCACCAGCAGAGGGCCAAGGGCTGGGCTGATGGACAGACGCAGACATTTCTTTCTCTCTGGCTATCTCTGACTCTGTCCTCTCTCTCTGACCCTCTGTCTGTCATTCTCACTCCCAGGTGCCAACAGACACCAGGTGTGGCTGGTCACGCCATGGGCTGAGGTCTCTGCTGGTCGGCTCAGCTGCCCATAACAGAAATGACAAGTGGCCATGGCCCTGAGGTCTGAAAACCCTCCCCCACGTCTGGCTTCTTAGTGATCACAAGTGGGCATCTCGATTGTTTATGGGAGGAGGAAACGAGGAGAAGAACATCAGGGTGTAGTCGAGCCTCAGAACCAGCTCAGGATCGTACCTGGGGGGTCACTCCTCACTCAGGGATGGAGACTCCTCAGTGAGTCCTGCTGTGTGCAGGTCACCTTTGGGAAGATGAGTGGGCCACAGAGCTTGTTGATCCCCAGAGGACCGCTGACCCAGAGCAGAAGACGCGGCTCCTCCTGGGCCACCCAGGTGCCTGAGTTGAGATGGAGGGTGACTCTGAATCCCTGGTCGTCATGGGGGTGGGCCATCATCAACCTGAGGAAGGACAGTGTGCTGAGGGGACATGGGAGTGAACAGCTCACTCCTCGGCAGACTGGTCGCCTGCCTCTGGGGCTAGCACCCATCCGTACCGGCTGATTTGCTGCCTGTTGGGGCCTTTCTTTTCTCTCTCCCAGAGCCCACCAGAGGCCTGGTTGTGTGAACAAAAGAGGCCAAGCCGGCCACAGCCTGTCTGAGGCAGGACACCGGGAACGTCCCGGGAGTGCGTGTACCCCGCTGAGCACGGTTCTCCACAGAGCAGGAGGGCTTTAACTGGCTGCCGGTGCCAGGAGGGTCACAGGGAGCTCAGCAAGGAGATGCATGTCCTAAGTTCAGCCTGGCCCTGTCAGCCGCTTGGGGCCCTTGGAGTGTCCTGGCATGGTGTCCTCCTGTCCCACTGGGCCTCTGATTCTCCAGCGATACTGTCCTTTGGACCCCAGGTGAGCTCATCCAGGCAGCCCTGCTGGAGTTTCTGATGCAGGTCCAGGTGGGGCCAGGCGGTGTGCATTTCTACACAGGATCCAAGGGTCTGCTTGAGGCAGCAGTTCCCCAGTTTGGAGGCCAGGACAGTAGAGCCCGGACAGTCTGACCCCGGATGTCGGTGTGCAGGCGGTGGCTGCGCACACCTGTTGGGCATTGCACAGCGTCCTGGAGTGCCCTGGCCCCTGTTCCTTGGCCACACCCTTCCCTTGCTTAACAAGGACTCTGGCTGTAGGGAGAGGGGACGTGCCAGGCTCTGGGTCTGCAGAGGCCCCAAGAGCCCCTGCTGGCTCTGTGGCCCCGGCCTGTCTACCTTCTGCTCTGCTTCCATTTCACCTCATGTCTGGCCGTCAGGGTACGGAGAGCCTCCACTTTTAAAATATTTGCTACATCGTTTTGCCAGGGACTTGAAAACAAGAAAGAAGTGACAATTACGATGTGAAACCAGTAATCAGTCGTGGCAGACCAGTGAGTGGAACTGTGGGAAGTGGGGGAAGGACCTCAGTCTACCTCAGTGTTTTTCCACACCATGAGCCTCAGATGCAGCCCATTCTGTGACGCTCCTGTGGGGTGTCCGGGAGGGGAGAGCCCATCAGAACCACGCTGCAGGGTGGTGGCCTGGACGGCGCTCTGGTGTGCTGTGGGGCCCTGCCTGTCTTGCTGTTCTGGGGAAGAGCTTGGTAGCGGGTCTCTGAAGGCCAGAAAGTGCCTCTCCTGTGATGGTTCCTGGTAGCCTGAGAGGCCCTGAGAGCTAGCTGTTGGTGTGTCTGTCCCCTAGATGGAGCCGTGACCTGCTTGCCAAGCAGAGGTACGGGGAGGTCTCAGGTCTGCACGCTGGGAGGGCACACAGCGAGCAGGACGAGGCAGGAGACCAGCCCCGAGTCTGCCAGTTTGGAATGGGGAAGTCGGCGTCCCCTGGTGTGCATCAGCAGCATGGCTTTCTCATGGATACTGCTCACCACTTGTGCACGGGGGCGCAGACGGAAGCTGCAGGCTGTGACGGGCTGCCTTTTGTGGGGCAGGGGCTCGGACTGCAACTCCTACTGAGGCAGATCTCGGGCGGGTCCCTCAGAGGCTCCAGACACACGCTTCACATCTTAGGGGCTGCATTGGATTTAATTTCTGGCCTGGAGTCTCTGCCAGATCACTTACTGTCTTATAAAGTGAGCTCTCACAGAACAGTCGTAGACTGGGAGTCATGTTCTGCACCAGCTGAGCACGGGAAACGGTGCAGGGGAAAGCCAGGCAGGCACCTCGGTGAGTGGAGCCGGAAGGTGGA